CTAGCCGGGACAGAGAAGGGAGGGAGGGGCCATCCGCTTGAATTTTAACCACATTTTGAGCTTTTTCCCCTCTTTTTTAGTCTGAATGTCCCTCTCCAGCTGGCCCTGGGTGGCTGGTGAGGGGGGTGATGTCCCCAAACCCCGCGGGACCCACCGCCCCTGCACAGCCTGCCGGGCACAGGAGGGGGCCTGGCCTGACCCCCCGCATGTCCCAATTAGCCACCGGGCCCAGCTGCTGCCCCCTCGGTCCCCGCTGTGCCCCCCGGGGGTACCCAGAACCCCGCAGAGTCCCTGCCGTCCCCATGGCAGCCACATCACGTCCCCATGGCAACCCCATGGGCACCCCAAATTGCAGCCCTGCCCCAACCCCCGGGATGCTGCGGGCAGGAGCAGGGCAAGGGCATGTGTGCAAACGGGGGACACACGTGTGCAGAGGGCACGTGTGTGCATACGTGTGCATGTGTGTGTGGTGTGCACGTGTGTATGGTATGCACATGTGGGTACACAGCAGTGTGGGGAAGCACAGGCTCATGCCTCCACTGGAATGTGTGTGCAGATGTGCATGGATGTGCCTGTCCCTGTGTGCGTGTCCCTGTGCATGTGTAAACGCATGTCTGTGTGTACATGCACCCTGTGTGAATATGTGTGTGTGTGTGTGCATGCACCTCTGCATGCCTGCACACGCATGTGCATGTGTAAGGGCACGCACACACTCCTGTATGAATGCACATGTATGTGTAGGTGTGTGTGCATGTCAGTAAGTACATGCACGTGTGTGCATGCGTGTGTGCATGCACACCCCTGTATGAATGCACATGTATGTGTGTGTGTGTGTGTGTGTGTATGCATGCACACCCCTGTATGAGTGCATACATGTATGTGCAGGGGTGTGTGTGTACCTGAACATGCATATAAACTCCTGCATGAATGCACAGGTGTGGGCCTGCATGTGTGTGTATGGGTGTACATGCATACTCCTGCATGACTGCACACGTGTGTGTGTCTGTAAGTACATGCACACGTGTGCCCATATGCATGTGTGTGTACACCCCTGCATGAATGCACACACTTGTGCAGATATGTGTGTGTGAGTACATGCACATGTGTGTTTGTCTGTGTGTATGTGTGCATACCTCCTCATGGGACATGTGCATGCATGTGCAGAGACACCTGTGTGTGCACACACATCTGCAAACACACACTGGTGCGTGGCTGCATGTGTGTCCATGCATGTACAGGTACATGCAGGCACATATCTGTGTGCACACGTGTGTCAGGGTGTTCAGTAGTGTGTGCCTGTGTCTCTGGGCTAGCAGTGACACTCGGTGACTGACCTGTCCCCTGGCACTGGGGACACACGTGGTTCAGCCCAGCCAGCCCCAGCATTAATGAGCATTAATCATGCCAGCAGCATTAATGAACATCCGTTAATATCCGTGCCCTAATGGGGGATTTTCCTGGCACAGCCCCACAGACCCAGTATGGGCTTTTCTTAACTGAAAACGAGGTGGTTCCTGCAGCCAGGAGTTCTGGCTCCACTGCGGGAAATCAGCCCTTGCAGCTGATGGAAAAATCCCAGTTTGGGGACGATTCAGCTCCAGCCCCATTTCCCCAGGGATGCCCAGCTGGAAACTGGGTGGGAAAGGAGCATTACTGAGAGCAGAGCTGCTTTATCCCTCTGTCCTTGCCTGACACCTTCACCTGCCCCACTTCCTTTGCCTGACTCCCACCCCATCAGCACCTACCCTGGGATGGGGGGATACACTGGGCTGAGACCTGGACATACATCATCTCACCTCCTGGTTATTCCACCTTCTGTGGGG